GGTTTAGGGTCTAAGGCCTAGGGTTCAGGGTTTACGTGGGGTATAGGGCTTTCCCTGTATGAATGTTTTAGCCTCAAATCAAAAGAACCTCCCAATAAGAAAGCAGTGTCCGTCTTCTCTTTCATCTCTCCATCCCGTACTTACGAACGTGAAGCCGTACAATATACAGTCTCCGCTGAAGTAGATAGAATGTGGCTTTGGGTATATTATAATATGATCCCCATATACCCTAGATTCTATCCACTTCAGGGGGACTATACTGGTTCCCCCGTTTCTTTTCCATTCCTTCCCTCCGCCCCTACAACCCGCAAGTATTCCGCTATAGACCCCAATATCCACCCTGAACCCTATAAACCAAAGACCTTAGGTGGACCCCCCGCCCCATAATAGTGGTATAATAGGAATATACGAAGACCCTAGTACAATCACCATTATCCCCTGAAGTCACTATTACTGGGTACTTGGACGCCCATGGGACTTAATAACAACTGATAACTGGGATTATAACCCTACTTTTAATTGGGGTAACCCCTATAAGCCCATTTAGGGGGATTATAGCTAGGGTTATAAGCCCGATTATAAATAGTTACTACGTCCCGTGGCCCTTCAAGTAGGGGGTCCACCAAACATATACTTTACAGGCTCTAACCCTAAACCCTAAACCCTCTGTACCTCAATGGGAGCCCAGGTGACTCCGGTGGCCGACGTGGAGCTCCAAGTGCAGCGGCCGGGCGAAGAAGAGTCCTGGGGCAGGGGGGGGGGTTAAGGGTGTAGGTTTTAAATTTTGATTGGTTCAACGTCAAGCTTTAGGATTTTAAGGTGTGGCGGGTTTTCAGTTTTCTGGACTACACTCCCGCAAAAATTAGCATAGGCCCCCATACAGGTTTCTTTAAAGCAGACCTAATAGTCTACGTAGGCCAACTCGTTTGGTCGGGTTCCTTATTTTGGGAGGATGGTAGGTGTCAGCATGTGTCAGCTTAGGATTTGGGCTTTCGGTTTAGGAGTTAGGTTTCCTCAACCTCAAGAATTTAGGATTTTGGGCCAGGCAATTGGGTCTTGCGGTTGGCTGATTGATTATGACACCTAAACCCTAAACCCTAGATTATGAGGTATGTAGGACCACAACGTGGCCTGGTCAACTTTTTACTTCTGCATAGGTTGTCATGTTCCTGCCTTGAAGCCCCGGAGATTTGTATCGTAAATATTTACCAGTATAGGTGTCCCGGATTCCTGTGATAAGCATAGTATAGGGTACCACAACTGAGCGCATTCTTGGGATCTTACGAATGC